AAAAAAAAAAAAGAACACTTGACGAGTAAACTGAGAATGTTTACGCATCTTTCGGTACTTTACTCAGCAGAAACTATATTCTCATTCGCTTCTCATTTTCCCAAAAACCACCGTATCCACCTTCCCACTGTCGTTTTTTCTCGTTGTTTTCCCTTTGGACATCGACTCAATTAAATACTCGTCCGTTCACCGGCCAAAATTGCATTGTGTCTACTAACGTGGCAAGAGCTTGTTTTCCCATCGTTATACGAGACGAGACGAATCGTTGGCGCACGGAGGGCACCACGTCGCGTATAAACCCAGCGCAGCGCGCCACGCCAGGCCACGCAGCGCCATGTGTTGCGCTCAATTGGACGCCCTTCAGGTAGAAAAACGCACCGGGGCCCGGGTTACGAACGCATCTGGCGAGCGGAATCGCTTCGGGGCCGTGTGTCCTCTTTCTTTCTTCCGTCGTTTCTTCCTTTCGACGGTGTTATTTGTAAATCGACGCTCGGTTTTCCGTTAAATAACGCGCTCGCGCGCGCCACCCAGACCGGACAGGTTATACTTATGCCGCGACGGTCCGTTTAGTCGCTCGAATCGTTGTCCTTTTGGACGCCTCCGGCGAGGGAACCAGGCTTTCGATGTCTTTTTTCACTTCGTGATCACGCGTACTGGGTGGTTATCGGGGCGGAGAAAAAATCGTGCAATTAACATGCATAAAGACGGATGACGAATCAGCAGCATCAAGCATCGTCTATTAAAAGATCCAGAGTCATTACTGCCGTTTTTTTTGTCCGATCGTTAGCCGATCAACTACTAGGTATGTCGGACTGGAACTGTGCTGGTAAATGGTTACACACCGGACGCTCCGTTTGGTACGTAGTCAACTCGAGAATAACCGTTCAAGGTATGCAAAAATCGTTGACGCGAACCGCTAGACTGAAAATAGATGGACTGATTACGCGTGTCGAGCGACGAGTTTCGATTTAGCTCCACGCCGCACGCTACAATGTTTACAGTTACGCAGCATAATCAGCCGTGGATAATTATGGAAATCAGGTGACGGGACTTGAACGAGAAAGGAACAAATTGTTCCGACCCGCGAACGACCTGCCTCCTCGCTATGCTTCCGTTATCTTCGTTATTGACGGCACCAATGATTGGGATTCGAGGGTAATGCTGGCTCGCCTCCGTAACGAAATTATTAAGTGGGCGTCTTGTAACCCCCCTTAACGGGATCGATGGGAAACTAGCCGGTGTAATAGTCGTCCCGGCTAGCGAATCGATTCCAATTGACTATAGTAACTCATCTCCGCGAGGCTTTAACCTTTTCGTTCCGCGCAGGGGATTTGACAAGTTGTTGCATTTACTTCGCGGTTCCCCGTCAACGTCAAACGTGAACCGTGTATGTAAGATTCGATGATTGTACGATGTTTCACAATTCATTTGGCATCTTTCCGTCAATAACAACGCCGTCGAGCACACGATAACAGCAATAATAATAATAATAATGTATTGGGTACACGAACAGGACCCGTTAATAAGTAGCAAACAACCATTCATTTGGTATAGCAATGACAGGAAAAACGATAATAACCAAACGAGCATAAATACGGCCACGTAAACATAGGTACTGCAATATCTACATAACCATGTATGTACCATTCTTAAGATTCATAAACTAATGTAATTTTAATGAACCGACTCGGTCCGTAACCACTAAACGAATCGATCCGGAAACGGTATTCCAAAGGATTCTAAAACAACCGCCAATCGAATCGGTAACGTAATCACGTGTCGTAAAGGGAAAGATTTTCACCGAAAGTTACAAGTGTTAAACGCGTGACAGACCAAAGGCGCGAGTAACTTACGCGTCTAGTTAAGCCAGATTGCGCGTTGCTTCCACTTAGGTATTTGCCTACACGTGTTGTGCTTCACGCAGGGATGCAAAAGAGAAACCGTTCCTTCTCGCGCCAGGATCTCGACGATCGATTCGGTGGTTCCCGCCAGGTGTACATACGCGATTTCCCGGCCGCGAAATTTATAGACCGATCCGAGGACTTGCGAGTTATTCCGCCTCGCGGTGCCTGTCGGCCGCGGATTCGAGCCGCGACTCCGTTTTGCCCCCCCCCCCCCTGAGGGGAGGAAAGCCGCCCGGCCGAAGGGATCGGCTTCGATTCAATGCCCTTATTCGCCGCGGGTATATGTTACGCCGCGTTATCTCGATACAGGTGCGTGTACGTCCCATCGCGGAAGATGAACGGTCGTTAGAGAGAGGAAACGGTATGCAGATGAGAGGCCGAGGCAACTACGGCTCGGACCGACCACCATCCGGACAGTTTCGGTGAAGAAACCTAGCTATCCTCCGCTGCTGGTGTCGCGCCACGACCCGTTTTGGCCGCGATTCACCTGGATAACGATTATGGGATGACGACCAGGCTGATACTCCACCGGTTTCAGGGACACAAGCAAACGCAGAATAATTTATCTGTTTACGTTCCCTTTGATGCTCGGTGAGATTGTATGATTCATTGCCGCATAGAGGCTTCTTGCGTGGGGATGATACCGATGTACTGGGATTAGCGGAATAGAATCGGTGTTATTACTGATCGAGATGGTAACGATTTCTCGTTGGTCTTAACAGGCTGGCTGCAGGAACTGCTTAGAACAGTATTACAGCAACAAAAGTTTAACTTCGAGCAGATTGGGAAAAAACTCTAAAATCATCTGAGATTAGTGGGAACGAAACATTGCTAGTGTTCTTCCACCTTACCATAAAAACAATTTATTTATTCAAACCCACTTTTTGATTCAAAACCCACGAATTAAATCCACGGAAGTAAAGCGTACGGCGGTTGATCCCGTTCACGCGTCAGTTCCAAGTCGATACTCGTAATTTTCCGGCGTTCTCGATGACACGACTGTTCATGACCTACTTTTGCATCGGTGCACCCTTTCCTTCCCGAATCACGCGTTTCCCATCGCGTACACGATCACGCAGAGAAAAGGAAAACCTACCGTTGCACGCGCTATAGAGAGAAAGAAAGCGATAGAGAGGGGGTGATGGGCCGCGCGCAAGGAGCAATTTGAATTAATCGAACACTCGCCCCACCGACACACCACGCCGCGGGCGTAATTTGCAAAGTAACCACATTACGCCAGCCGGTATTCGGTACAACACATTATATAACCATAGAATACGTAATGCGGCACTCGGTGGCACGGTTCCCGCGGAGATCCAGAAGTCGCGCGTAACGTACGGTCGAGCGAGAACGTCGGAGCACGCGCATCTATTTTAATACTCCGATATTATAATAATAATCGTTGAGCAAACCGTTCTGCATTGGCCATTTCCCGGCTCGTAATCTCGGGGCCCTTGATACACGGCACAGTTTGAATGGGGCCCACGGATCGGTCCCAGCACGCGGTTTTCTCGATGTTCTCTTGTCCGAAGTGCCGAGATACGTGAACCGAAGCAGTCTTACCCGGAGGGGCCAAACCGACACGCTCGGCCGTGTAATCACTGTAATCTCGTCTCGCGGACCGGCCGGTAATTTTTGGACCGAACTCTACCCCCTCCCCTCTCGATAGCGAACTTTCATTCGATTTCATTAATGCCACGGGGAAGCCCGTGGCGGTTCTTCGCAGGTCGTGCGACGATAACACGACGTGACCAAGAAACGACGATTCCCCGGGAGCCGAGTTATACACGCCACTTTTCCCGTCCCTCGGCGTTACACACCCCATGCACAGCTCCAGCCAGCACCCCCTCTGGCCTGTTTTTTTTTTTTTCTTTTTTTTTTATGGTCCGATGAATCCTAACCACTGTGATTTAAAGCGGGCCGAGTTTTCGCGATGGTTTAAAAAACCGTGGCCGCGCGCTCTTTCGAGCGCCTTCGGGGTAGAGGCTGTTCTTTGTTTTATGAACCCGCGAAAAGCTGGCCGAGCGCCAGCTAAAGGGTAAGTTCGCGCGCGTTGGAAGCGTGACCGCATAGAGGAGACCCCCGTGTAGTTAAAATATTGGTTAAAATATCCGTGGATACGATTAAACGCGCGCTCTCTTATATAATGTATGCGCTTTTGTTTACAATCGTGCCAGTTCGAACAAAAGAAAGCATCGTTCAATACATCATCAACGCGGGTGGCGGGAGGAGGGGGGGCACAATTAAAAATAATCTGCAAGTAAAATCGCAGTTTGCTTCCGCGTTCTGGGAACAAAAGGTATTCTTCCGTGCACATATGTGTCGATATATTAACGTGTTACCTCTCGAACCATGGCGCGACGGAAAGGTAATCGCAACAGAGGATGAACACGACTGAGAAACAAGGGTAGGGATGATCTGTTCGTTTCGATTTCGCACATAATAACCCCGCCATGCGACCGAGGGAGGGGGCCGCCACGCATCCTGCATCGAACATCATTAGCGGTGGGATCAAGTTCAATATGTACACGCGAGTACCAATCAATTAAAGTTCATTGCTTGTTAGAATCGAGTGGGAGTCGGAAAAACAAATGCTTCGTGCTCGGCTGGGGCTGTTATCGCGATACGTGGATTATCCTTGGGAAATATAATTTCCATGGCGTGTCAGAATATTATCTTTTCTAGAAGGCGGGGTCGACTGTGCTGTTATCGTGAATATTTATCAAAGAAATCATCGGATCATTCGCTCTCCTTGGTGTTTCGTGTTTATATTAGTATTATTGACTCGAACTACTAGTCGAGTACCCGTGTATTCGCTCTGTTTCCGTTCTGTGACCGAATGCAGATAAAAAAATCAGGGTGAAAGTCAAATGGAAATATTCAGCTATTGTTTACGTTTTTCCTGACACTGTCGGCAAAAGTCTAGAGTGCACTTTGAAAATTACAATAGCGTCCAAGATCTCTATCGTTCGAACGCGTTCGATACAACCCGTTTCGAGCAGACCAACGCGAATGATTGTCGAGGTGCAGCTATGAATCATGATCCGCACAATATACCTGGGAATAATGAAAATCAGAACGCACGGGAGTACTCACCGGCATCGCTGGATGAAATCCACGAAGTGCAGCGCTGCTCCATTTTCGTTGCCTGTTCTGATACTGAGCGGCCCTGTAACTGTTGTTTTGATGTCCCATATAGGCCGGGCGTTGCTGCATAGACGGTCGAAACGAAGGATAAGGCAGTCCAGTGTATCCAGGTGGTTTTCCATGATGGTAATCACCGATCTCGAACCGATGATGCTCGTGATGAAGGAAAGAACCATCACCATGGACACTGGACACTCTCAATCGTTCCTGTTCGTGCTCGTGCTCCTCTATTTTGCCCATCGATCTATCAGGAGACGGTCTCACGCTAGGAAACGGTGGTGGCAGCATCGCTGATGATCCGTAGAAGTGCGGGAATCCATAGGAATTCGGGAGGCCGCTTGTCATTGGACGGTATCCTTGATGCTGGGCTTGACACTGACCAGGCATCTCAGGATTGCCGTCGATCTTCGGAGGAACCATCGTCTTTCTGTCGTACTGATAGTCCGGTTGCAGGGGATGGTACTCATCCTGCGGTTCACGCTTCACCTCGAAAACCTCCGTCGATTCTGGAACCTCGACTTTCACACGTACACGACTGTTCGATTCGCGGGCGTTCCTTTCGTTCGCGAACTCGGCCTTCGAAGCCTCGATGCTTTTCGGCGATTTGCCACGCGCAGTGGGCACGGTCGTGTCCTCGTCACAGCCGCCCACGCTGCCCTGCTGCATTCTCGGGATGTTCACGCGCGACGCCCTTTCGACGGCCACTTCATCGCCCGGTGAGAACGTAACGCGCGCCCGTCAAACTTCCCTCGCCGCGGAATCAAACGCGATGAATCTCGGGGGAATCACGAGCAGGGCGTCGGACGTATCGAGCGGACTGTCCGGGCGTACGCGCATCGTTCGTGGCCAATTCTCGGAAACGCACGGATTCTCGATCAACCGACACCAACCGCGAGCTGACACCGAATGGTCGTCTGGGTACTTTCGGGGGAATTCGCGTTCGATATTATTGCGAGCCTTGTCGGTCGTCCTTGGTGTCACGTACCTGCACGAATAGCCAGCTGTCGATCGTAAATAGGCTGTCTGGCTTTTAGACCACTCCTATTTTCTTTCTTTTTTGTTGCCTTCGACAAGGGTGATTGTAAATAAGAAGGACGTGTTTCTCAAGATCAACGAAGGAAAGAATACGTTTCGTAGACGTAACGTTCTAATCCTCGTCACGATTTCATGTTCCTGTCACATAGGTACTCAAGAAGGATGCGGAACTTTGTCACTGATGAACTTCGAGGAATCGATCATCGAAAAAACAGAGGTGGCATTCGCAGGCACAGAGAGCTTGTCTCTACGCGAACGCCGTCATCGTCATAGGCGCATCTCATGATGGTTGCTGGTTGTCCACGGTGCGTCTAGAAAAAGTGGCCAGTCCGCCTCGCAGAGTCGCAGCGAGGAGTGGAGCGTAGACGGAGAGAGAGAGAGAGAGAGAGAGAGAGAGAGAGAGAGAGAGGCAGAGAGATAGAGGAGAGGCTCGCAGCGGCCGAGCGGACAGAAGCGTTCGGCGGCACGCAGTCGGTTGGTTAGAAGCAGCGCTCGTATAGCCGGCTGACTCCGGTGCTTTTCGGTCGAGTGGAGGGGGTTGAAGGAGGGGAGGACAAGGGCGGCGTGACAGTTTCCGTGTCACGTGTCCCCCGACCTTAGGCCCCGCCTACGACTCCGATTTTCCTTCTGGCGGTCGGATCGTTACCTGGCCCTATCGCAGGGACCCTTTCCTGCCTCGTCATTCGTCGCCTGTCGTCCGTACGACTCGCAACAGATCCAATCGGGCGACGGTACGTCACGAAGAAGGAGAAACGGGAGAGACTTTTCCTTCTCTCGGGAGGGTTGACACACTCGCGGGCTGAACGGAAACGGGGCTTGTCACCCGTTCGCGCCACCAAGACTATTCATTCGTCGGGGCTTCTTTCTCCCTTCTCCAGCGGATATCTCTCTTTCTGTCTGTTGTGGGCGACGTCGTCGAGCGTGAAGGCACCGTGACGCGCGTTTTCACCGTGTTCCGCGAACTTCTTTTTATTTTACGGTACACTGCCTCGAGAATCCTGGGGGCCGTCCGACGATGGCTCACGCTCGCGACAGGGGTATTCGGACGCGTGTGTGCCACTGTGTCGTCGCGGTGATTCGAACGCGACACCGCGATTTTCCAAGCGCCGCCCGGGATTTGAATTATCGTCGACCGATCGAGCCACCGATTTTCCGGGTAGAAAATGAGACACGAATATCGAGCCTGAACGCAGCGCGGCCATACGTATCAAGGATGCCGGATTGCCTCGGTCGAGCTGATCGCGTACGAGTTTCGTTCCACGCAGCGTGAAACTCTTGGCGGAGGTGCGCGGCCACCACCAGCCACCGGGAACGCACGAGTCGGCCCGAATACGCCCGAGCTTCGATATATTTCTCCTCTCTCGGCGTGTACGTATATACCCACGGCGGAGGAGAGTCGGCCAGCCGCGCCGCCGGCTGCCTCCCGCCTTCCGCACGGACTTACACGGCCAGACCCACTTTGTAGATTCATCTTTTGTCGGGGATCCTACCCGGTGGAGCCTTCTATTCACGGCTTACTTCTCCTCTCGACGTCTAGCGTCGAGTATACGTGCTCTCTTCCCGTGTTTTCGTCCTCGCCCAAACGACGCTCCTCGGTATCCTCAACCCCTCCCCAACCCCCTGAGACGATCGATTTTTTTTTCGTTACCCTTTGCACCCGGTGCTCCATTCGGTTCGCTCTAGATGTATATGCTATTCCATCCTCGTACCGCTTCAACTCCATCCGACCTAATACACGTTCACTGAAATCTTACATATATGGCGTTCCAAGCATCGGTGCTCGTTGTTTTATCCCCTATTCGTAATTTCCTGTTTCCACTCTCCCACTCGGCGGTATTCTTTACTGTCTCGGATGCTGGTAAACGAAGTTTCCGAAGTTACGGATTAGGTTCTGAAAAACGACACTGGTTTAACTTCGCCCATTCATCTTGAATGCGTGATGTTTTTATACCGCGTCGGAACGGTACAAGTGCCTACTCTCTTTGTAATTGCTCCGCTTTGGTTGAATTGAAATGAAGTTTCGGTTGAAGATTAACTATTGAGAATAGCTTGGTATATTTGAAAATCTATCGATTTATGCCAGATGAAAATGAGTATCGAATTATTCGTGCAGGTGTTCAGGTTCTACCATCGTTGATAGCTTAAAAAGCGTCATCCCAGTGTTTCCACATGGTTGCAGTGTTATTTGTTGTCTACCTAATCGGTCCGTAAATGGTAAATATATATTAATTTATTTTCTTCAATGTACTTCATTCTTGATTTTCACAGATTTTCCTTGACAAGCCCTTAGAATTAAGAATATTTCTTCCCCTTCGATCGCAATTTAATCTTTCTCGTGGACTTCTCACGTCGGCCTCGTAACGGGATAATAAACAAACTAATTCTAATTTTGACACCGCGATCGATCGCGTTCGAGGACACGACACGCTACCGTGTAACAAGTAACTCCAATCGGTTCGGTCATTTGACGAGTACGACCGTGAGTAATTACTCGTCGAGCGCTGCCAACTTGCCGGAAAGAAATATCGAGCGCGAGCAGTTAGCGAACACTCCCATTCCATTAAAACATCATTAATACACGGCGAACCGCGGCGTGCGCGAGAAGAAAAAAGAAACGAACGTAACGATTTACATGGAAGTAACGCGCGAGACAGGCGGTTCCTTTGATGTGTACGCGTCTGTAACTGTCAGCGTCGCTTATTTACCACCCCTGAAATGACACGCGCGGTTCCTCTGGCGAACGAAGCACGCGTTAAAAATGACGTTCCACCAGCGAACGTCGGACGGGGGCTAAGAGTCGATAAGGCGGAGTATCCACACGTGAAAGGGGAAATTCATCATTTTCCGATTCCGCGTTCACTCCCTCCCCCGTGGGTTTGGTTCCGATGAGAACCTCCATTCGCGATCCCGTACGCGCCGTTACACGATATATCAGATTACATATCCGTTGCGTCATGTAAATTGATACTCGTACACGGCTGAACACCACCGGGCGTACATTTATTTGAGTGATAAATTATCGTAATGTCGAACGGTCACGCTTTCAATTCCAATTTCGCTAACTAGATCACCGAGCATCGGCTCGGCTATACGCGGATCGAAGCAAAACGTGCATTGTACACTGTATTACATACGCCCGTCTAAGACCCGGTGTTGCGCAATCGAACAAAGGAGCCGCTGTCGATACACAAATCTCCAGCTCTTCCTTTCGCGTACGCGTCCACCGTTAGTCGCAACAATTCAAATATAAATTGAGAAACTTTTAAACTCTAAATTTATTCATAATATTTCTGTTTCACTCGAGTTTCATAGTATGTAGACAAAATTTCAGGGATTAATTAGAGACATGAGAAATAACAGAAGATGCTGATATAAATATTTATATCTGTGTTGTCCCCGTGTTATTAAGCATTCTGTAGAGTATAGCACATATTTGGTAAGTCTACGTTGCGGGTAGGTATCCTACGTACATACCTATAATACCTATGCGCCGGTTTCGACACAAAAGGGGACAGGACCCTTGGTCTCCCTTCGGTCAGCGTAGACCGCCGCGCAGGATTGGCCGAGGACGCGTATGGAAGTACGTACATACGTGTGTATGCAGTTTCGCAGCAGGATGACTGGTGAGAGAATTCAATTTCCACCGTCGTTATCGTGCCTCCATCTTCCGCTCTCAGGCTCGCTCGTTTCTCGTTTTTTTTCCCCCCGTGGCGGACATCGAATCTCGTGCAAGACGATGGGGGATGAGGGGAGGACAGAGGGGAGGAGGTACGACGATAGACCTGTCGTTTTGTTTGAGCATCCCTTTTGTTCCGAGACTATTACGTCAAACGGGAGGACTTCGTCGGTTACGCGCACCGCCGGTGAAAAAAGAACCCTTTAATGGACCCGATTACGCTGCTTCGGGGAATCGATTAACCCGCGGGCGGGTTACGGTGCAGTTCGCCTCGAGTGTTTCCGTGTCGAAGCTTCGAAAGAAATCGCGACTGTCTGACTTGTCACACACTCATTTTCGAGAAAACCATCACGCCGCCCGGTTTTTTGTCCCACTCGGCGAGCCGAAATTAATTGGATCTTTTTGTCCCCATTCCCGTCGACAGCGTCCGTCGTTTTTGCTTGTTACGACCGCCATTCTTTATATATAGTCGTTAATTCGGCTTCGATGGAACGGTTACATTTTGCTTAATGTCCCGAAATTAATGAAGCATATTATAGTATAATTTTAAATGATTATATCGCGCGGCAGCAAATCCCCTTTTCATTGGGCCTGCGCCAAGTATGTACCTATCTCTGATCCATGAAACACCGAAACGAGATACTGGGACAGGCTGATACGCAATTTTTCGGACCATCCGTGAAAAGGTCAACGGAAAAGGAACATCCGATTTATCGATTGAAAAGTGAAAATAATAGACGGCGATACAAGCAGACGTGTTTAGAGTGTCCGATACCGGTTGACAGTGACATATCGGGATCGAAAAATCCGAGACGAGATCGGCCGCGACCTTTAAGCGCGGAAACCGATTTTTCAGCCGCGTTTCTGCACACCCGTCTCCGGCGATAACGCGGTTTCCCGCGCGATACGACGCGTCTCGAGCTCGCCCGAACGAGATCGAGCCCAAGCCAAACGA